ACCCGAAGGTGTCTCAGAGCGGCTTACAAACTCCTCTCCCTTCCCCTCCCCACAACAGACACCCTGTGAGGTAGGCGGGGCTGAGAGAGCTCTTGACAGAAACGGCTCTTTTTCAAGAACAGCTCTGAGACAGAGAGAGAACAGAGACAGAGAGAGAACAGAGACAGAGAGAGAACAGAGACAGAGAGAGAACAGAGACAGAGAGAGAACAGAGACAGAGAGAGAACAGAGACAGAGAGAGAACAGAGACAGAGAGAGAACAGAGACAGAGAGAGAACAGAGACAGAGAGAGAACAGAGACAGAGAGAGAACAGAGACAGAGAGAGAACAGAGACAGAGAGAGAACAGAGACAGAGAGAGAACAGAGACAGAGAGAGAACAGAGACAGAGAGAGAACAGAGACAGAGAGAGAACAGAGACAGAGAGAGAACAGAGACAGAGAGAGAACAGAGACAGAGAGAGAACAGAGACAGAGAGAGAACAGAGACAGAGAGAGAACAGAGACAGAGAGAGAACAGAGACAGAGAGAGAACAGAGACAGAGAGAGAACAGAGACAGAGAGAGAACAGAGACAGAGAGAGAACAGAGACAGAGAGAGAACAGAGACAGAGAGAGAACAGAGACAGAGAGAGAACAGAGACAGAGAGAGAACAGAGACAGAGAGAGAACAGAGACAGAGAGAGAACAGAGACAGAGAGAGAACAGAGACAGAGAGAGAACAGAGACAGAGAGAGAACAGAGACAGAGAGAGAACAGAGACAGAGAGAGAACAGAGACAGAGAGAGAACAGAGACAGAGAGAGAACAGAGACAGAGAGAGAACAGAGACAGAGAGAGAACAGAGACAGAGAGAGAACAGAGACAGAGAGAGAACAGAGACAGAGAGAGAACAGAGACAGAGAGAGAACAGAGACAGAGAGAGAACAGAGACAGAGAGAGAACAGAGACAGAGAGAGAACAGAGACAGAGAGAGAACAGAGACAGAGAGAGAACAGAGACAGAGAGAGAACAGAGACAGAGAGAGAACAGAGACAGAGAGAGAACAGAGACAGAGAGAGAACAGAGACAGAGAGAGAACAGAGACAGAGAGAGAACAGAGACAGAGAGAGAACAGAGACAGAGAGAGAACAGAGACAGAGAGAGAACAGAGACAGAGAGAGAACAGAGACAGAGAGAGAACAGAGACAGAGAGAGAACAGAGACAGAGAGAGAACAGAGACAGAGAGAGAACAGAGACAGAGAGAGAACAGAGACAGAGAGAGAACAGAGACAGAGAGAGAACAGAGACAGAGAGAGAACAGAGACAGAGAGAGAACAGAGACAGAGAGAGAACAGAGACAGAGAGAGAACAGAGACAGAGAGAGAACAGAGACAGAGAGAGAACAGAGACAGAGAGAGAACAGAGACAGAGAGAGAACAGAGACAGAGAGAGAACAGAGACAGAGAGAGAACAGAGACAGAGAGAGAACAGAGACAGAGAGAGAACAGAGACAGAGAGAGAACAGAGACAGAGACAAAGAGAGAGAGAGACAGAGACAGAACAGAGACAGAGAGAGAACAGAGACGGAGAGAGAACAGAGACAGAGACAAAGAGAGAGAACAGAGAGAGAGACAGAGAACAGAGACAGAGAGAGAACACAGAGAGAGAGACAGAGACAGAGAGAGAAAGAGACAGAGAGAACAGAGAGAGAGAGAGAGAGAGCGAGAGAGAGAGAGAGCGCTGGATTCGGGCCCAGTGGCACCTGAGAAATGGACAAGATTCTCTGGGGTCTTGGTTTTCGAGAGTCAAAGCTCCCTTCGTCAGATACGAGTTGGAACCGAGATTCCGGAGTCCTTATACCCCAGGCAGAAGGTGGGAGGGGGGTGTCGCAAGGAAGGGACTCGGCTGGGTCAGCGGAGAGGGGGAAGGCTTGGCAGCGGAGAGTGGAGACGGCCGTACCTCTTCAGGCTCGAGGAGAGCTGCCAGATGTCGTCGGGGTCCATCCCTGCCGGGTCTTTCCGATGCGCCACCAGGAAGATGCTCTTCTCCTTGTACGAGGTATAGATGGTCAGGACGCCCATCATCACAAAATAGGTGGGCGGACGTTAAAGAAAAGACACCACACGGTTGCGGTGGAAGATGGGAGAGTGCCCCCCACCCCTTCTCTCTCTTTTTGATATTTGTGTGTGTGCCTGCCCGGAAGTCATGATTGACTTCTGGCGACCCCTAGTGGGGCTTGGGTGGGGCTCCTTAGCTTGGAGAAACGACGGCCGAGGGGTGACAGGATCGAGGTTTATAAGATTCTGCACGGGATAGAGCAGGTCGGGAAAGAAGTCCTTTTCTCCCTTTCTCACAAGACAAGAACTCGTGGGCGCTCCATGAGATTGCTGAGCAGTCGGGTGAGAACAGGTAAAAGGAAGTCCTTCTTCACCCAAAGAGTGATTGACACATGGAATTCACTGCCACGGGAGGGGGTGGCGGCTACAAGCATGGACGGCTTCCAGAGGGAATTAGATAAGCATATGGAGCAGAGGTCCATCAGTGGCTCTTAGCCACAAGGTATAGACAGGAACTCTTGGTCTGGGGCAGGTGATGCTCTGTATTCTTGGTGCTGGGGGCGGGGGGGGAGAGTGGGAGGGCTTCCGGTGTCCTGGCCCCACTGCTGGACCTCCTGATGGCACCTGGTATTTTTGGCCGCTCTGCAACTTACCTGGCTGCTTCTTGCTGACTGAGGGCTGCTGGGAGCAGGGGGTGGGGCTTGTTGCATGTGCCCACCCCTTGGGCTATTTACTGCCGGAGCTCCGCTCCTGTGCGCTCCTGCAGGAAATGACCCCTGCTGACAAGGGAGTTCTGACTGATGCCCTGAAACTCTTGTTGGGTCTCTAAGGGTGCGCCTGGACTTAAAAGTGCGCTCCGGCAGGAAATGAGCCCTGCTGACAAGGGAGTTCTGATTGATGTTCTGAAACTCTCGTTGGGTCTCTAAGGGTACGCCTGGACTCAAACCTAGCTGTTCCGCTGCAGAGCAACATGGCTACCCTCTGCAGCTAAATGACAGGGTAGAAGAAGAAGAAGAGATTGGATATATTATATATAGATAGATAGGGACTCTGGGGCAAGTGATGCTCTGTCTTCTTGGTGCTTGGGGGGGGCAACAATGGGAGGGCTTCTAATGTCCTGGCCCCACTGCTAGTTTTCCCAAGGTCATACCAGCAGCTGCGTGGGGAGGAGTGGGGAATCAAACCTGGTTCTCCCAGATTACAGTCTGTGCTCCTATCCACTACACCGGACTCTATCACAAGGCAGATTGGTCAGGAACTTTGTACAAACAGACTCACATGCGCACAGAGTAAAGACAAAGGTTCAAAACGTGATCCCGCCCGAGTTCCGCCATCCTTGGGCTCTGAGAGAGCTCTTTTGAGGACTGCCCTTGAGAGAACAGCTCTGAGAGAACTCGGGAGTGGCCCAAGGTCACACCAGCAGCTGCATGGGGAGGAGTGGGAAATCAAACCCGGTTCTCCCAGATTACAGTCCGCGCTCCTATCCACGACTCTGGACTCTATGACGAGGAAGATTGGTCAGGAACTCTGTACAAACAGACTCACATGCACACAGAGTAAAGACAAAGGTTCAAAAGGTGATCCCGCCCGAGTTCCGCCATCCTTGACTCTGTCAAATGTAACGGGGGTGTCATGATCTGGGCTGTGCCACCAGAGGCCTACTAGGCCCAGGGATCCTGGCTAGCAGTAGTTGAGGCTGGGCCTACAACTCCCAGAAGCCCCTGAGAGGTTCTGGAGCCAAAATTGACCAATAGGGAAGAAGAGGGCTGGGGAACAAAAGGGCTGGTGCCAGAGCAGAAGCTGTTCTTTCTTCCAGAGGGCAGGTCCAGAA